TTCATAAAATAAAAAGTCATTTTTGATAAAACAAAAGACTCAAATTGAAACTCTAACTCATTCCAATCACAAATGAAATTGAACTAAATAAAGATTACAAATATCCAACACATCTTCAATACTTCATACCCATCAATTTTTTAATACATACATATAACTCAAATAAAAAAAATTCGAAATTACCTTGTTCGATGGCACTTTTCACAAGGTCACAAACGACCTCTGCTTTTTGGGTAGGGTTTATTTGGGGCTCTCCTCAATTTTCCTCTTACTTCTTCTTTGTGGCGTGTCTTCTATTTTGATTCGCCTTTTTGCACCCTTCACTTTTGTCATTTTACATCAACTACAAGTTCTTCGATTTTCACAAGATAATGGAAGAACGATCGTGCTAGACGTACAGAAGCCGTTTTCCAGAAATGCACCAGATGAGTTGGCAACCACTTTTAAAAAAAAAAAAAAACAAATGAAGTCAAATGAAACCCACCAAGTCCAAAACACTTTCCTTCACTTTCCCTCCACGCCTAGCAGAACCGGCCGCGACTTCCCATAAACTCCCCACAGATCGAAAATCGGAAATCGTTATCGACATCGCCGGCACTTTCGTCAACGTCGCTGGCTGCCGTGAATCCATCAAACGACTTGCTGATTTACCATTGTCATATTAAGAAATCAATTAAATCTTGCCGCTATGAACCTGCTGATTTTGCCTCAATGAACCCAAACACCTCCCCTGAAAACCACACCCAACTGCTGATTTTGATTCTTTCAACTTCATTCATTGTTGCTTTGTCTCTGTTTTTGTTGCTAGCCGCAGCTGTTGAATATTTGTTTCCATGTAATAAGTTAATATTTTAGTTAATGTTTCAAGCAAGTAATATTGCAGCCAAACATCCAAAGAAATGAGTTCTCTAATATCTGCAACTGATAGCCTCTTCAACATAAAATATAGTCTGAAAGTGTAATTAACAAAATGAAAGAAAAACCACAACTGATTCTAATTTCTCCAGAACGCAGAAGGTGCAGTGGAAAAACCATAAATGGCATTAGAATGAAACCCGCTAGTTCTATTCAATAAAAGCTCACCAAACGTACTACCAGAAATAAAAGAAACACCAAACTTACCAAGTGTCTGTTACTACCAAACTTACTACCAAAAAATTACAACCATAAAACCAGAAAATTACAACCATAGAACAAAGGTGCTGGATTGCATGAGGAACCAATCATATGGCTGAAAACCAGAAAATTACAACCATAAAACCAGTGACTTTACATCAAGAAGCTCATCAGAAAATTGTTTCAGTGGCCAGTCAGATTTCAAAGGGGCTGGATTGCATGAGGAACCAATCCTACTGGACTCGACCATGGCTGGATGGCAACCATGACTTTGCTTTTCAGGAGTTGTTGAAGACTGGTTATCGCCGTCACCGCATTTGGGCATAATGTTCGACGGGAGGAAATGTTGTGTTCACTGCCAAATCTCGTCAAATGTTCGGCACGAGGATTTGATCTGTCAGTCGGACCCGTTGATTTGCAATGCCCAAACTTCCAGCTCCGTGTAAAGACGAATGGTAGGGACGATGTTGTTCGAAATGGAAGTGGAAAAATGAAGGAGCTTTTCGGCGGGTGAAAATGGTAGTCGCGGGACTCTTTCCCTTTTCGGAAATAGTAGTGAGCAAAGGGACTCTTTCCCTTCTTCATTAGGTCAGTTTCCCACTCATTTTTTCAATTTATTTGCAAATGAAAACAAAGTGCCACGTCATTATTTTTTTGAATTTCTGGCGTTTCTGATGTACAGTAATCTGTACATAAGGCATTTCTCATGGACGAATTAATGTTGATACTATAGAGATGTGAAGTATAAAATAC